TCAGTCACCTGGCTGAAATTATGGAGTTTCTCCATGGTGTCTGCAAACTCTTTGTTACGTTGACCCACTTGTTCTAGGTGCTGGTGCGTGTTCTCCCATATTTGCTCACGCTGCCTAAACCACTCGTCTACTGCAGGTGAGTCTGTGGGGTTAGCGTTCCAAGGAAACAGTGGTGACTGGTAACCGAGTACATTTTGGAAGGGCATCAGTTGTCTGGCTGAGTGGCATAGAGAGTTCTGCGCATACTCAGCACAGAAAACTGAGAAACTGAGCCCAATCTTCTTGGTTCTCTAAACAGAATGTTTGCAGAAACCACCCAATATTCTGTTTAGCTCATTCTGCTTATCCATTGGACTGTGGTTGGTACCCTGATGTAAGGCTTACTGAGACTCCCAGCTTTTCCATAAAGCTAAACCAGACTCTGGAACTGAATTGGGTGCCTCAGTCACTCACAATGTCCTCAAGGATCCCAGAGTAATGAAACACATGGTTAAACATCAACGCAGCAGTCTTGAAAGAGGTGGGTAGGCTAGGCAGGGGAACTAGACGTAGGAACTTTGAGACTCTGTCAATGACGATCATAATCACTGTGTTGCCGTATGACTCAGGGAGGTCAATAATGAAGCCTGTGGAGATGTGGGACCAAAGGCGTTTAGGTGTGGGTAAAGGCATGAGCTTGCTAGCTGGGAGTATGTGTGGCACCTTTGCCTGAGCACAAGCAGTGCAGGATGAGATAAACTTGTGGATATCTGTGATCATGGTGGGCCACCAGTACCTTGCCTTTAACAGGTGGTAAGTGCTCTGTGTTCCAATGCCCAGTAGCTGGCATTGTGTGTGCCCAGGTAATGAGCTTGCTCCTCAAACTGGGTGGTACAAACCTGCACCCTGGCAGGCATGCAGTGGGGTTTTGAAATGGTGTTCCTGCAATCTCATCATCAATGTCCCGAGTGATAGTTCTCACGAAACAGGAGTGGAGTAAGATGGGTTTGGGGTTTGGATATTTGTCATCAAAGGGGCTCAGACAGGACCGGGAGTCAGCCTTGGTATTTTTGGAGCTGGGTCGGTACGACAGTGTGAAATTAAATTGGGCAAAGATCAGTGCCCATTAGGTTTGGTGTGAGTTCATGCGCTTTGCAGTTTTCAGGTACTCGAGATTCTTGTGGTCAGTGAAGATTATGAGTGGATGGACCGCTCCCTCCAGCCAGTGATGCCACACTAGGGAGAGTTTCCCTGCCAGCAATTCTTGGTTTCTAATATCATAGTTAATTTCTGCTGGGAAAAGTTTCTTGGAGTAGAAGGCCACTGGCTGGAGATTTGATCTGTCTCCAAAACTTTGAGAGAGCACTGCTTCAACTCCAGACACCGAAGCATCTACTTCCATGATGAAGGGCTTGGAGGCGTATGGGAATTTCAGGATGGGAGTGAAAGTGGTGGTGAAAGATGGCGAAAATGGTTTTGAGCTTCTTGAAGGCCTCATCTGCTGCTTTGTTCCAAGCTAACAGCTTGGGTCCCTTCTTCAGAGATGTGAGGGGAGTGGTGATGGAACTAAAGTGCCTAATGAAAGCTCTCTAGAAGTTCTCAAGACCCAGGAATACTGAGGGGGCACAGGAGAGCCCATATGGCATGACGCAATGCTTAAAGTGACCAGAGTTGCTGCTAAATGCCTTTTTCCATTCATCTGCCTCTCTGATCTCTGAGATTATATGTGCTGCATAGGTCAGTTTTATGAATATCTTGGCTGACCGGAGTTGTTCCAGTGCAGAAGGTAAGGTGCAGTGCACAAGGTTATATGGGTCCATCCGAGTTGCATGGGCTCAGGGCAGTCGAACTCTGGCATGGGATTCACCACACACTTAGGAACATGGCAATTGCAGATGAGATGGTCCAAATAATTGGCAAGGTCAAACAAGGAGTCCATTGATGCGTTGTCATCTCGGCATGCCAGTGCAGTAAGCACTTCCTGGTTGAGCCCATGTTGGAAGGCAGCTTTGAGGTCCGACTCATTCCATTTGCTTCCTGCGGCAAGTGTGCAGAATTCCAGTGAGTATTCGGTGGCATTCTTGCTCCCTTGAGTGACTGTCAGGAGTTGTTTGCTGATTTTCTTGCCTTCAGGGGTATGATTGAAAACTCACTGAAACATCTTTATGAAGCGATCAGATCAAGCGATTGTTTCCAGACCATGGTAGCCCACTTGAGGGCTTTGTCTGTGAGCAAAATACATTTACATTTACATACAAACTGATGAATTGGGCAATCTTCTGTTGATCCAAGACCCTCTCTTGACCCAAGAAGTAAAACGAACGCTGTAGCAGGAAGCCCTTGCACTGGGAAGTCTCCGCATATTTGTCAAGTGCAAGCCAGGGTTTTGCACTCGGGGCTCTTTGGGAGACGAAAGCTGAGGAGATAGCACTAGTGAGCAAGTTAAGTTTGGTGTCCAGCTCAGCCAGGCTGCCATGGTGTTGCGCCAGTTTGATTCTCCTTCTGCATCCATGGTGATGGTGAAGTAATCTGTAAAGTGACAGAATCTGTGATGGATGAAATTGTAGTTTGGAATTTTATTAAAACTGGTAAACAAATCCAAAACGTGGAGCAAGCTCATAGACAGGAACAGGCAAGATATCAGGTGATCAGCAAATAGCAATTCAAAGGCAAAATCCAAATTACAAAAGCCAGGAAGCAAAGCAAGATCAAAAAACAGGATAGCAAACATGTAAACAAAAGGCCTGTTAAGTCAGGTAATCATTTTCTTCGCAAAGAGTCATTGTGAGGGTCCATGTATATCTAGGCTGAGGGTGTGACTGGAAAAGGTGTGCCTTGTTAGTATTTAGCTGAATGGGAATATACTGGTGGAGAGAGGTGTTAGGGATTGTAGTCCATGTCGACAATGTTTGTAGGTCACAATGTTTTCTGGTAAGTGTAGTTCCCAGTGGATTTCGGCATTGGTGTGACAGCATGATATACAAATTGGAAACATCACAGTGACTTCCCAAATAACTAGCCGGCTAATTAACTGCTAATTCTTAACTGTTAATGGTCACAGATAGACACGAGTTGAATTTTAGTGTCAAAGTGTTGATTTGCATCGTCATATTCTCTGCTATTTATTTAATAGTAGTGAAACTTGTAATCCTCATATCAGTACTTTTGTTCAGCACTAACATTAACTAAGTTGTGGTTGTCCTTTAATAGTGTAATAATTTAAATTGCGTATTGGATGTGACTGGTTCAAAATCATGGGCATATTTCATCAGTGTTTTTTAAGTTACAGAAATACTGAGAAAATTGTTGTTTTAAATAAAATAAAAATAGTACAAATTTGACATACCTTAGGAATCAGGAATCCCAGAGGAGGTGGTTTTTGTTTTGTTTTGTTTTGTTTTGTTTTTTTTGTTTTTTTTTCTTTAATCAGGTTTTTAAGAGCAGGGATACTTTAAAGAGGCTGGAAAGCAAAATCGGTTGGTGAGACTCAGAACAAAGGAAACAAAGGAAGCCCTCTGAATGTGGCACAGCACACTGTAATATAAATTCACCCACAATGTGAAAGACCTGACCCCTGGATGTGCTCAAAGCTGTTTAATTTAATTTGCAAGGCAAAGGTGGGCTGTGTGATGCCTGGTCTTAGTCCTGCTTGGGAACTTTAATCTGATTGCCTATTCCAGGGCATTTTGCATGGTTGGCTAAAGAGATTCTCCATGACTAAAGTGTTTGGTTTCATTACATAGAAACTGGAAGAGGCTTCCACTCAATCCTATCAGTGCTGCCGTCTGGATCCTGTAAAGCCAAGGTGGAGCTCAACTTGAGGACTGAAGATCAGGTCATTTAAAGTAAGGGTCAGAAGTTGACAAAAGCCTTGTTTAGACTACAAGGACAGATTTTGACATTGTTTGCTTTTCATGTCATATTTGTCTGATTGTTGGCGTTGGTATTGATGATAGAGGTGACTGGGGTACGAAACCTTCATCACTATAGTACTAAACTGCAATGTCCAGTTTGACACAAACATCAGTCTATATAATCAGAATTAGCCATCCAAGTGGAGTTAACCATTTGAACATCATGTTTGATAGCAAATCAACTTGCAAGACTCAAAGAAAATGGAAAAAAGAGAGTCCTCTAAACATGGGATGTAAGGATGTAACCAAATATAAGTAAATGCATTATTCTTAATGAACAAATAATAGGAAGTGCACTATTTGTGGGTTTTTGTTTGTTTTGTTTTGTTTTTTAGAACAATTGCCAGAAATGTTCAGAGGGCATCTGGATGAGAGTATTGAGACTAGAGGTGTGCATCGTGACAGGGATCCTGCAGGAGACAACTAAAACAGTCATGATTGGGAGGTTTTTGCTATCATGCAGACGTGAGTCAGATACAAAGCTTATGGGACAAATAAAGACCACGTTCATCCACATGTCCTGTACACATCTTTAGATGAGAATAATTAAGAACTGGAGTGATGTACCTGTGGGGGAGGAACTGTCAGAATTCACACATCATGATGACAGTGCTGCTATTTCTACCTCATTTAAAAAAAAAAGAAAAAAAAGAACAACCTTTCCAGTTTAGGCCACACCCACTTTGCTTTTAAATCAGAATACAGTGTCGCTTTGTTACACTTTTAGTGGGAAGGCACACTGTGGTGTATATTCATATGCAAAGTTTTAGAAAGTTCTGACGCCTGATAGATCAAGGCTGTTTGAGTGAATCAGTGAGGAAAAATGTCCTGAGATTTTCCTTTCCTGAGAATACTAAGTACAGTAAATGCACTATGGATATTACATATAACAGTAGTATAGAAGTATAGAATTTTAAACTAAATATCATATGTCGTTGTTGTTCATTTGTTTGCTCCTGTTAGGGGTCACCACAGCGGATCATTGGTCTGCATATTTGATTTTGCACAGTTTCTAAGCCGGATGCCCTTTCTGACACGACCCTCCCCAATTTTATCCGGGCTTGGGACTGGCACTGAGAGTACACTGTCATATGTGGCTAGGGTTGGTTTCCTGGCCAGGAATCGAACCCGGGCTGCAGCGATGGGACTGCAGTGGCCTAACCACTAGTCCTCCAAGCACCCAAACTGAATATCATATAATGAGTACAAATATAATGAATAATTTTTCCAAAATTTGCCACAGTGTATGAAGTCTGCATTATTGGTCAGTCCCTGAATTTAATGTTAGGCTTCATTAGTTGATTCTCAGATAGAAATTAACCAATGAAGCATAAAAGAATATGTATTCTTTCAAGAATATGTAAATAAAAAAGTAAGGGTTTAAAAGAAACGATCTAATGATTTTCATTTCTAAGTTCTCAAGTTTAAACATTGATTTTGGAAAAAGACAAAGTGTTTGGAAAACTAAAAATTATATGAATTGCTTCTTTGTGCAGACTTCATGCCTATTCTGCATAGAAGCCTATGCATGACATTAATTGTTTGAAGAAAGCATTGAACTGGAGTGAGTTGATGTGTCATGAATGTTGTTTCACACTGTGAACTTGTGAGCAAGTGACAAGAAAATAAAACTTGGCATTCTTTTAATTGCCAGTTTCCAGTACTAAGTATATTCAATACTTGTCTTGAATGTCTATCAATATATTGTAGATGCTCTGCTCAGCTTTGTAGTGGCAGGAGAAATCACCAGCTCCTTCCTAGGACATCTTTTACGTCTTGTGTGACGCGGGACCATAAACTGCTTTCCCTGAAAGCCCTACCACACAGAGACTAGTGCAATAATACAATTAAAGATGTCCCAGTGCCTTAGTTTCAAACTGAGGCTTTATTTCTCCTTCCCTGTCCCTAGAGACAAGACAGCAGGCCATAGTCATTTTCTTCGAAGGTCGTCAAGTCAACACAGCTGTTTGTTGACGGAACGTGGTTTTGTTGGTTAAATGGTTGTGGCACGTTTCCTAAATTGGTTTAAAGTTGGTTTGTTTGGTCTCACCATGGTTTACTCTTTATTTCTCACAGCATAATGTTACTTGGTTGCTATGTGGTTCTTCATTTCAGTAGAATAAGGAATTCCCTTTTTGTCATTTTGAAGGTGTTTTTTTTTCTTCTTTAAACTAACTACCCTAATCATTGTCAGAAGCATAACTATAGGTTTTCATAGAAACCTTTCTCAAGAGTTGCATTATTTTAGTAACAAACTTTAGTCAATCTTTTAGACCTTTAACCTCCTGCTCAAATTTCTGCAAGATCCAATCAACTCAGACTGAATAGCTCTGTCTGAGGCCTGAACTCACGGTCTTAAAGCAAAATAGAAATGTTTTAATATGTTCAGTCTTTCTACTTGTGATCTGGAGGCAACGTCTATCTATACAGATTTGCATAATGACATGCAGTCATTATTCCACAGCTTTAACAACAGCTTGTAAAGTACAGTAGCCATGTTTGATGTCCAACATGATGTCACACTGGAGCTGTTATAACACACTGCCACTGTCTGTATCTATATCTCCTAAGCTGGGGGTCGGCATTGGCTCCAGTGGGCAATCTTTCTGTTTGAAAAACTTGAAGTTGAAAAAAAGTTTTAAAATTTCGTCAAATAAAATATTCATCACTGATCACGTGACGTCAACTGCGCGCCGCCTTTCTCTGCAGGTGAATAAAGAGTTTTCAACACCCGCCCTCGGTAAGCTAATAATGGATGAATCCAAAAAGAGAAAAGTCTCGGAGGAAAATAGAGAATTTAACTCTGCATGGACAGATTTATTTGCTTTCACTGCCAATAATGCTGGCTTACCTGTGTGCTTGATATGTGGTGAGAAATTAGCAATTAGCAAACAACAAAAATGTAATGTTGAAAGACATTTCCAGAACAAGCACATAGGATTTGCTGAAAAGTACCCAGATGGAGAGGAGCGAAAAAGAGCGATTTCTGAATGGCTGCACCTTATTTTACCAATTTTCTCCAAACATTGGGAGAACTCAAATAGACCGCATCATTCTGTGTCTTTAATTTATTTCAAAGTGGGCCAGTTTATTTTTTTCCTCTTCATAAGAGTTCAGTGTTTTTCTTTGTTATAACGGGTAAAAATAACAATAAAATGTCAACAGTTTTGATTGCAGTTCTATGATTTCATAAATGCAGCATAGGTAGTTTTTTAGTATATAAAGTATAACTATATATAAACCTTATAAGCTTGTATTATATCTTCATTTTAAGGGTCAAATATGTTTTGCGGCTCCAGAAGAGTTTTATTCAGGGGGAGAGGGCGGAAAATGGCTCTTTTGACAGTAAAGGTTGCAGACCCCTGTCCTAAGCGCTCCAAAGATTCCTATCAGTATCTGTATTTGTATTTAAATCCAAAGTGGGCATGGCCGCTATGTCCCCAAAAACACTGGAAAAAACCCAGAGGTAGAAATGCCAGCACTATTACCATGTCATAAAAAATGCTGTAAATGTATTGTACAACATTGTCTTTTTTTGTCCAGTGAGCATCATTTCTGATCACTTGCTCATGTGTGCATGGAAGTAAAAATCTATCCCTATTTGTATCTTCTGTTTCCTGTTCACTGCTGATCTTTGGTTACTGACTGTATGGAGTTTCACATGTTCTTTCTGTGTCTGCGTGGGTTTCCTGGGGTTTCTCCAATTTCCTAAACCTGCTTGGATTGAATGTGTTAGTATTCCCAGTATATCCCAGTATTATATCCATGGTGTATACCCACCTTACGCCCAGTGCTCCTTGGATAGGTTAGGGATCTACTGCAAGTGAGTGAGAGCATGAGTGACCACTTCCTACAGCAATACCAGAGACACCTGAAAACTATACTTTTTGGGTTTTTCAGCTAAAACAGCAATCAATTCACTGAAAGGGAAAAGGATATGAGACGTAAAAGGATGTGTTTATTTCTGCGAGCTGTTACTTTTGCTCAATGCCAACTTTATCTGATTCAACTTTGACCTGTGAATTCATGAGCCTTGGTCTTGTAACCAGTAGAAAACAAGAAAAGTGTTCTAATGGGTTGTTAAAAAAAAATGGAGAAGCTGCTAATTTCTTAAGTAGCATCACACTGGTCTTTTGCCTTGCTGTTTTCTTACTGTTGATTGATGGATTTTCTTCTTAACAATGTTGGCACCTCTGATAATATAACATTGTATACATATAATAATATAACATCTAATGAGGCACAGTGGTCAACACAGTAGAATAAATATTTCAGCTCTGAAAGGTTTTGGTCAAGCATTTTAAAGTTCTGAGCTAACATGATAGATTTTCAGAGTGCGTAAAAATGTAGATGTGACCAGTTGTGTATTAACAGTGCATATTTTAAAATAAAATAAAAAAAACATTGAGAGGTGCCAAATACCTAATCATATAATTATATCACTTATCATTTACATTTACCAATTCACCTACATTAATTTAACCACAATATAATATCCGACGCTAATAAAGTTGAAGAAAAATCGAATTCATTGCCAGGTTTGGCAAAAACCAATTATCATTCTCTCTGAACTCATAAAACAATGTAATCTATTCAATTGGTGTTCCACAATGACCATAGTCAAGTGAGGACAATAGAGATATTATACCTTGTTCACTGCTTCATTTGATAGCCAATATCACAGAAACCTGATTCAAAATATGGACCCGGAGCTAGCAGATAAAAGGTTCATTTAGCAGAGTATTTTTTTTTTTCTAAAGATGCAGCTCATTAGGTTGTTTATTCACATTAATCATATATCAATATGGCACTGTGCACCAATTAATCACTATAAATCCTGATTAGCACAAAGTAATTACTGAAAGATAACAGAGAAAGGGAGGCTGATTATGAAGTTAATTATTGTGACCCTCACTCTAGCTCCAAATTTCGGTGTGTATGTGTGAGTGTGTGATTGAGCGTGTAAGACCCAGGTCATTAACATTAAAGTTCAGTTTAAAGACAAAAGAAGCCTACCGTATTCTAATAAGATTAGATAATAAATCACATGATCTAATGTTTATCCAATTACCAAGTGTTCTAAAACCTTTCATATTACAAAAGGGCCAAGCTAAAAATGAAATCAAAATTGCTGTTTCAGAGTCTCTTGGCCCAGCAGTCACAGATAAAGTAGTATATATATATATTTATTATATATATTATATATATACACTGCCCTCCAAAAGTTTGGAAACGCCTGAACAAAATAGGGTTTTTGGGCAATATCAGCATAAATCCTCTTTAGTTAGTGACCATTTTGCATTGATAATAAGGGACAACACAAACTATGAAAACATATTTTATTAAATAAAAAGTTTATGAACATAAACATGAACATAACATAGAAAAATACTCA